TTTCTTTCTTTCTTTCTTTCTTTCTTTCTTTCTTTCTTTCTTTCTTTCTTCTTTCTTTTCTTTTCTTTTCTCTTTCCTTTTCTTTTCTTTTCTTTTCTTTTCTTTTCTTTTCTTTTCTTTTCTTTTCTTTTCTTTTCAAAAGGACCTTCTTAAGAAATGCTACTCTGCCAAGGCATCTTACCTCTTCCAGCAGGATAAGTTCTATGATGTCAGCTACGACACAGGAGACAAGTCTATCCAATGCAGCAGGAGACCAGATGCGTTCAAGTTCTGGATGACTTGGAAGGCCCTGGGCACATTAGGCCTTGAAGAAAGAGTTAATCGTGCACTTGCTTTATCTAGGTACTTGCCTGTGTGTAAGTGTGTGTGTGTGTGTGTGTACGTGTGTGTGTGTGTACGTCTATAACAGAAAGACTTGATGGAAATAACATTTGCAAAGTCTGTACATGTTCTTTCTTTTGTGCATTTCTCCTTTCATCTAATGACCATTTTCTCAGTACCTACTACATGTTAGGAATTGTGAACCAAGCAGTCCTACCCCCACCCTCCTGGATCCCAGCCCAGTAAGAGATACATTTAGGTGGCAAAGCTGATAAAATACAAGTGAATCTACTTTTTGGTAAAGGTGGGTACATGATGCACTTAGGAGGGTTCCTTAGTATTCTTGAGGGGCACTAGCAGAAGCCCTAGAGGAAGTGACATTCAACTAAGACCCAGGGAAGAAAGGGGAGAAGAATGGTGCAGGCAGAGGGAGCACCAAGGCCAAATTGTGGTGACTTTAAAGTCCTGAAAAGCAGGTTTGTGAGAATGTGGGCCTGGAAGGAAAACATGAAGGTAAAGGTAATGTGGAAGTGCTATGGCTACTTGTCTCATTGTAACATTAGACACAAAGCTTTTGAAGCCATTTTCCAAGACATTAGAAAAACCTTTAGATACAGGTGGTGGGCACTTGCCAACCAAACAAGACTCTTCTGCTAAGCATGGATCAGTGGGTGCACATGGGCAGGCCACAGCCAGATTTAGTTTTAAATGTGATTTGTTGAGCCTGAACTACATAGGCTTAATCTTCTCGGTGTTAAAAAAAAAAATCAAACATTTAAAGATGTAAAATACTTAAAAATAGGGAGATTTGTCAAAAATCTGGATTTTTGGCTTCTCCCAAAGGATCAGAATGCTCTCAATCCCACATGGTGACAAACCACCAAACATGCTACTGAGAGAACCACACTCCCCGTACCTCCTCCTGTTTCTCGCAGACAGCCTAGACTCACAACCTAGCTCTGCCATTTACAAGCAAGGTGACTTGGGCAAGTTTCTGAACCTCTTGGTACCTCAGTTTCGTCCCAGTAAAATGGAGATAAAATGCTATGTCGTTCAAATAGTTGTTATGAGGATTAAATGAATTGATATATGTAAAACACTTAGAACAGTGCCTGGCCTGTGCTACATGCTATCTGAGTTTTGGTTATTCTTACCTGCTTGACCACTGTAGGCTTGACCACTATAATCTCAGGTTTGGATTCTCTCTTGTTCAGACTTCCTGTTCACATTTCACTTGCAAAATCCTGAAGTCTCTCCTTAGAGATTTAAGACAGTTTTCTCTTTCCTGACTGGGAGCTGTATGGGTGCTCCATGCAACAACTGTCTGAAAACTCAGTGTCTTAAAACAGCAACTATTTATTCTCAGACATCTGCAAGTGGGCTGGAGTGGCTTTATCGCATACTATGGTGGCTGTAGGGGTTGGTGGAGGGTCCCTGTCTACTCCCCACATGCCTGGCATCTTCCTTGGATTAACAGGTGAGCCAGAGTGTGTTCTTGTGATGGAGATGACAGAAGACCAAGAAGGCAAGCCCCATTATGCAAGCCGACTTTGAAGTCCTGATTGTATCATATCTACTGGCATTCCAATGGCCAAAGCAAATCACATGGCTAACCTCAATGTCAAGAGGCGGGGAATACAATGGGCCTTTTATCAGGAAGAACTGCAAAGTTACATGGTATTGACCTTGAAAATGAAACAGCCAGTTTTTTACCAGCAAAATGGGTTTGTTTGGGAATGGCAGAGGAATTGCAGTTCAGGATATGCAAACTATGGCAAACCGTAAGCAAGTCTGGAGAACAAAGAAGAGTTTGCTTATATAGAGGAAAGGGGGAAGTTGAGAAGGGTTGCTTTAGACATGAGACCATTGGACAAGACAGAGAGTGATGGCTTCTCATTGGCTGGTAGTATGGCTTCTCATTGGCTGGGGCTTTTGCTAGACAAGGAGAAAATCTTCTTCCCTTTTGCTGTGGTAGTCGAGTAGGCTTCTTCCTGTTGGAAAATGCAAGGTATGCCTTTTCCTGTTGAGGTCTGCAATCGATGTCAAGTTTGTAGGGCACGAAAGCTCCATCTTCAGGGCTTCTTAAGTCCATTTCAAATGAGGTCTCCTTTATTCTTTTTCATAATGGCTTGGATATAAGGACAAGTAAAAAGATGGCTTTGGCACTTTCAGAAGATTGTTAAAAGTCAGCAATTCTAGTGATTATGGCTTAAGTAGTTTAAAAAAATCTATGAATACCGTACCATTTAGGGTTCTTTAGGTGGCAAGCAACAGAGACCATAATTCAAGATACTATAAACAAAGAAAGGTAATTTATTACCCCATGTTCCTTATAAGCTAGTATAATTATGACTTCTGGAATGACTTCATCTAGAGGCTTAAACCATATCATCAAGCCTCAATCTTTTTCCATCTTTTAGGGTTGCTCTCCTTTATGTTGGTTTATTCCTGTGGAGGAAGATGGCTGCTGGGAGTGTCAGATCTCTATCGTCTATCATCCCAGGTTCAAGTTCAAGGTCCAAATGAGAGTGTGCTCCTCTCTCAACGATCCTAAAGAAAGTTTTCATATCTGAATGAGGCAAATGTCCATCTGTCATCAGTCACTGTTGCCAGGGAAATGTGATACTCTCACTGGTCATGCTGAGTCACATGCCCTCCCTTGGCATTGGGCAACGTCAATTCCTCCTATAGAAAATATGCTGAAACTAGGTGAGGAATATGCTTTTATTAGAAGTAGGGTTAATGTACCTCCATCAGAATTAGGGAGATAATTACCCAATGGTGAAAAAAAAATGACACTGTCCACCATAATTATTGATAGTTTCTGTTCAATTAAAATAGAAGGTCAGAAAGCTCTGTTTCCTTTTTTTGTATTTTCTCATACTACTTAAGTGTGGTAGAATCTCTGCATTATTTTATCTAAGCTGCTAAGTAATTCATTGACAGGTGTCTTGAAAGAAGGCTAGATATAAATATTTGATGATCATATTTGTTAAAAAGTTAACATTCATCTCAGGGTAGAATTTAATTTATAGTCTAAGGATACTTTCTAATTTTTGCAGAGAAATATCACAGGAAAATAAATGTTAACACTTCAATTCAATTCAACAAACACTTATTGTTTGTAAATGTTTGTCAATTTGAATTGAATTGAATTAACATTTCAGCGAGCATCACTGCAGACTCTGTGACCTATATCTAAATATTTGAAAAATAATCCTCCTCTTTCACGCTGTTACTCATCGTAGTTTCTTTGCCTTAACTTTCCAGTTTTCATATATCCAACCATTTCTTCGTGGGGTGGGCAAAAGTCATCCTGTTCTTCTACCCCCAATGCCAAGTAAATACTGAGTCCTTTTATTTTTCTTCTTTCTTTCTTTCTCTCTCTCTTTCTTTCTTTCTTTCTTTCTTTCTTTTTCTTTCTTTCTTTCTTTCTTTCTTTCTCTTTCTTTCTTTCTTTCTTTTTCTTTCTTTCTTTCTTTCTTTCTTTCTTTCTTTCTTCTTTCTTTCTTTCTTTCTCTTCTGTTTTTGTTTTTGTTTTTGAGAGAGAGAGAGAAAAACATAGACAGAGAGCAGGAGGAGTGGAGCAGAGGGAAAGGGAGAGAGAGAATTTTAAGCAGGCTTCATTGCCCAGTGCAGAGCCTGATGTGGGGCTCAGTCTCACAACACTGAGAGCGTGACATGAGCCAAAATCTAAAGTCAGGCGCTTAACTGACTGAGCCTCCCAGGTGCCCCTATTTTTATTTTACTTTTGGCTGAGCCCTTTTAGACATGTCACTTGGAATGAATATGAAATTTTAGACTTGGAGAAAGTTTCTCCAGGATTAAGAATTACATCAACTTGGCAACATAAGTCTTTATTTTTATGATTTTATTTATTTTCAAACTGGCTAATTGGTTTGTGGTTCTGCTGTTTAGGAAAGGGGAAACCTTTTCTTAGAGCTGGGATCTATTCTATTGGAGCCCATGTACAGTAGTGTCCTAGTAAACTGGCTCTCAGGAGGAAAAAACAAAAGCCCTAGTTGGTAACGCCTGTCAATCCCCACGGTGTAAATATTCCCATTGTGTAAAATTGCAAACTGTCAACAGTTGTGATTTGCAAAATTCCTAAATATTTAACAGTGGGTTCTCTCACTAACCAGTCCATATTCATTCTGGAACACCATTGCTTAAGTGAGCCAGTGTAATCAATTCAAACCACTGATTCTTGAGAGTTCAAACTCCATTTCTCATCAGGCTCACTGATCCTAGGCCACTGCCTTTAAAAACGATTCTCATCTGTGTCCAGAAGGCTCTAGCTGGCATAATGTCTATAATTTCAGAATTAATGTTGTTTTGTTCCAAGGAGTATAATTCCCTTCAGTAGATAAGAATTAGCAAAGTAAGCTGCAAATGAGGGTTGTGTTAGTATTTGGGCTGCACACCTATTACCAGCAGCCTGATACAGCCAAGACACCCATTTCCCTTGACCCTCTGTCAAGATCTCTCAAATACTGGAAAGGCTGAGTAACTCTTTCCCCCCTGACATTGCAGGAAAGATTGCTCTGACTCCATAGAAACAATATTTCATGTTCCTGAGTCTAAATGGAGCTTAGTTTGAAATTTGTATATTGACCTTAAAATTGAAGGACTGGAGTTTGATGGAACAATGGGCTGCCATCCCCCTGATTGGATAGCTTGCTCTCTCTTCCCTTGGGAAAGCAAAAGCAGACATTAGAGGACAAAGATTCCTTTTTAATGAGTTTTCAGAATCTAAGAAAAAGGTAAAAAATTAGTGCCTGGAAGATCTCTAAGGCTTTTACTAATTTCCATTTGACCCTCGTCATTCCAATCACCAAGAGATCTCTTATCTGGAGAAATATTAATGACTAAAAACTTGCTTTCTCCTTGGGTTGTTTGAAAACCAGTGACATCGGGAACCTAAAGCAGCATGCGATTATGAAGTGTAACTGAAATGCAGAGGGCTGGGATTTAAAACCACCACCACTGGTACCAGGCAGGTGATTGTGTAACCCTGATATCTGTCTAGGAAAGTTGAAAATGTTTACCAATGCCCAGGGCTACCTGTTGCCGGGGGCACGTTCTAGGCCTTCGCTATGGCCCTCAGGTTAAATGGATATTCAGTAAGAGGTAATTTTTTAAAGCAAGCCGAGAAAAGTCATGTGTGTAAATCTTTTCAACAACAACAAACAGCTCAAGAATTCCCATTCAGCTACTTCATTAGATCTCCAGTGTATCATTTATCGAGTCCCTTGACACACAATCTCTATAATCTCTCAGATGGCATTCATTTCACCGACTTGCATGAATACTGGGGGATTTATTGTTTTCAGTGTGGAAAAGGTGAGCAGTTACCCAATGGCACTTCCATGCTAGTGTATTTCTCTAGGTGATGAGAGAGAGGGGAGCCTACAGGGCTACAGAAGGGTCAGTGTTTTCATTTTTCTTTATATTGGTAATTTTTCAAAAATCACAATTGAAGGAGAATGTAGCATGTAGGTGTCTGTGATGAATCACACAAGTCATGCAATATGTTCTAATATATGCAGAGCATACAGAAAACAGATGGAGAAACCTCTCAGGAGTTCTGGGAGGCTCCATGCATCAGAAAAAAATTTCAAATGAGGAGGTGAGGCTGGGAGAGAAAGTTGGTCCAGAGTGTTCCAGGGAGACTCTGGAGTAGCTGAGAAAGGGACTGAAAGGCTGCTTCCAGAAAACAAAGAACATCCTGCATAAGGGCAAGTTAAAGGCAAAAACATCAGACATAATCATTTAACAAATAGGAGAATTGAAGGTCTTCAAGGTTGGAAGCATATTTGTAAGCAAAGGAAGGGGAAGTGTTTGGGAGCAGGATTATCATTAATGTCTGCTTCAAAATCAAGCCAGAATCTTCATACAATGGGTTTTTTTTACCCGGTAGGATTGGTGAAAATCCTTGCTAGTGTGTAATTTTTTTCCCTTCCCTCTCTCTTTTTGCTAAGCTTAGCAGGAAGCACAGTGATGAGTTTTATAAGCTATTGTTATTTTTTGAACCCATTTACCTGGATGTCTTTTGGTAGAAGTGGTTTCTGGTTGCTGCATTATATCCCCAAACTCAATGTACATCCTTTTCTGGTTTGCATCAGATAAAAAGAGTTTTGTTTTGTTTTGTTTTCCTGAAATGTATTTTATCTTTAGTCTGCTTCCATGTATTGAAAAGAAAAATTGTGAGGAAAAAATCATCCCTATGAATGTAGGCAGAAGTGACTCAAACCTTATTTGGATTCCTTCCCCCAAACTCCTTTCACTTAAACTGTTATTTAAGAAGAGGGGAAGGTACCCTATTGAAGAAGCACTTCTCCCAACTAGCATCTCTGAAACTGCCCTCTGTGGGATAATAGACTTCCAGAAGATCTTAATGAATGTTCTTCCGAAAAATTTTTCCATGGTCAAATATGTTTGGAAAGTGCCAACTACTATGTTATTCCTCTCTCGGAGATACAGTGTTCCTGAGGGGGCTTGTAATATGGAAACATTTTTAACTTGGTTTTTAATATTTTTAACATGCAGACACTGTTTATCGTTCAGCCAACAACCCTTCTCCCTCTTTTTCTTGCTAAGAGAAACTTGATTTTATTTAGGTGGCAATAGTGTAGCTGGGAACATTGGTCTAAGCCAATCTCCACTGCCTGTGGTGAGTTTAGGGATAAATATATGACTCAGCCTCAGTCAAGAAGATAGAGAAAGAATTCTTTGAAGGCTTCTGGGGAAAATATTCTTATCGCAGTAGAGAGAAAGGAAGAGGAAATGCTTTTGCTCCAGCCCCCTCTCCTCCTTCTTGGACACTCATGGAAGGCCGTGATGCATGGAGTATGGCACACATCTTGAAATGATAGAAAATGCCTGGCTATTGATGACAGTATTGAACCATCCAACCAGTTCAAAAAATGTCCTTATGAATTAAGCCAAGTGCCCTTCTAATTGTAGACAAAAGTAATCTAATTGGCATGCCTAGCATAGCTCACATTTATTTGGCAATTGAACTCTTTTATGTGGGAGACCTATGAACATGAGTTGGCATAGAGCATAGTTGAGGGACTCCCGTGTGAGCCTTTTATTATGGTTATAATAGCAACCCTTCACCCAAATCACATCTACTCTCAACTCAGTTGATGTGTTACACTCTGGGCTCTGAGAGTGGCTGCAGTGGGGACAGTGGCCCTGACACAAAGCCGAGGTCCCCATGGTTAGCAAAAAGCGAGTTTTAACTGAAATGATCCAGCTCTGTTTTAGGACACCTTTCTCTTGGGAGCAGTTTTAGCCAGTTTGACAGAAATAGCTTAAATTGAGACCTTCGTGTAAGTTTCCTAGAGTCATCATCTGTTAGGGAAGGATTTTACCCACCTAGGCCCACATCTCCATTGCAGACAGGAGGAAACTGAGGCAGGCTGGGGAAGCTAAGGACTTGCCTAGAGTCACAAAGTTGATGAGCTGTGCAATTAGAATCTTCTAGAGTCAGTCCCAGGATTTCTGGAGATGCAAAGCTTCTCCATAGCATCGTGGTGTCCAGGATTAGCGTAGGCTTCCTCAGGATGAAATGTAGTACTGCTGTGGAGTTCACAGATTGCCTATATACATTTGTGTCTGAGAAGCTGAAAAAAGTATTGTTCACAAGCTTTCCTTGTACCAATAGAGACTGTATCTGTCTGTCTGTTATGTTTGTGCTTTACATTTTTCTTTTTTAAGTTCCCTTTCAAAAATTACACAAGTAACCACATCTATGAAACTTTGCAAAGAAATATAAAAAGAGAATTAGTAACTACCCATTGCATTCTGTTTGTTCCTCCCCCAGGTAAACACTAAAAATTTATTGTGTACCCTTCCATTCTTTATTCAGTGAAAAAAAAATATATATAGAGAGAGAGAGATGGATATAGGGATAGGAATTACTTCTTCTTTCTTTTTGATAATTTCTTAAAAAGAGAAATCATATTATTGACATTTCTCAGTACCTTGCTTTTATCTCTTGCTAATACATCACAAGCATCCCTGTGGTTTAATTGAAGTAGATGTAATTCATTTTTTTTAATAGCTATGTCATATTATGTTATGTTGCTATAATACATTTTATTTTACCATTTGCCGATTTCTGGATTTTTAACCTTGTTTCTGGTTATTTTGTGTGAAATACATGCACATATATGTACACATAAATTTAGGTAAAATTACATATATGCATGGTTTTACTTAATTCTTTTGAAACGGTGTTTGAGATTAAAAAAGCAGATTGTGTTATTTCAGTTTTCTTGGAATTGAGGCCCAAGAAAAACATTTTTGTTGTCTTTAAATATTAATTTAATATATGTGGTTTAGTGATATGATCATATTCCATATAATTCCTTTTTCAAAAAGATTTATTTTTATTTTCTTTTTTAGAGGGAGGAGGGGTAGAGGGAGACACAGAGAGAGGGATCTAAAGTAGAGTCTGTGCTGAGTGCGGAGCCTGGTGCGGGGCTTGATCCTGCCACCCTGAAATCATGACCTAAGCTATAATCAAAAGTCAGATGCTCAACCAACTGAGCCACCTAGGTGCCCCTTCCAGATAATTATACCATAATTCCATATGATGAATGGACCATCATTTTCAAAGCCAATCCTCATTCCTGGGTGTTATGTTTTTTGTTTGTTTCTTTTGCTGTTACATATAAAATCACAATAAATATTCTGGCAAGTACATTTTTGTCAACGCCCCTGATCACTTCCTTACATTTTACCCCCAAATCTGAAATACTGAGTCAAGGGTTATGAACTTTTCAAGTCTCATGATCAAATCACTAGTTTTTAAGGCCAATTATTTTGAAAGGCTCTTCTTTTTATATAGACAATAATCAATCCCAGGGAAGAGGTGTCCATGTTGATTTACTCTATGTTCTCAGAGTCATTTTCACCTTTTTTGGGTCATATTCTGCATCTCCTGTATCCGTGTCCTTTGCTTATGGCATGATAGTTCTTTTTTCCCTGACATTGGAGAGGACTTCTTAGACATTCTGTCAGTGGCTACAGCCCACTTACTTTTAACATGATACTAATGATCAGTCCTTTTTCCCTCTGTCCTGGCCTTGGAAAAAACAATGTTGAGCTTCCTTGATCGTAAATGAGCTTACAGGTAGGACTCTACACCAAAAGCCAGCTAGGTAATTTAAGTAACTGTGCTAAATTCCCATCTAGAATATGAATGTGAAACCCACATGGTCAGAGATGTGTCTCCAATCTAGGTGGTTTTCATACTGGGGTTAAAGTCTGATGCTAATATGAGAGATAAACGTCACCTCGTCCAAAAGATGTATCTTTTTACTCAGGCCCCAGGGGTCTGCAGTAGGTTCAGGGATATCTGTCTAAATCCATGTTTATCCCTTCTCCCCTGACCTTCTTTATTTCTAAGCCTGTATTTCTAATCCTGTCTCTGCATTTTGAAATAACAGTGTTTTTGTGTGTCACTCGTGTACATGGAATTGTTAGATGCTAGATTATAAATATTATTGTGTCTTTCATTTTTAGGTACCTCGTAGAAGAAATCAAGAAAAGAGAAGGATTCAAGTTACTGCTGGAAGTAAGTGATTATGGAATTGTGCTCGTGATTTTGTCAGTCAACAGTGATGAAGGTGGCAATTTTCTAATCTGTTATATTTCACTGGTTTTTGTGTTGCAGACTTAGAAACAAGTCATTAGCTTAATTCATGGAGTCCATTATGTTAATTTACTCTATTAGTGAGTATTTTGCCTTTGTTGGATTCGCAAAAAACACACTTGCCTTTAAGTATTGAAAATTAAAGTGCTCAATAATAATTACCAAGGATAATACTGAATAAATATATAAATTGCATGATGATTGTACTGTGAATATTCAACCATGCAATAGCGGTACCTGCATATGAAAAATCAATTGAGTGAATGTACGATGATGCATAGAGTTTTCTCTTTTTATAAAATAAGGAGAGCATATTAGCTTCAGAGCAACGGGAAAATAAGTCATTTTGTGGTTGGACTGTTTGCTATGTATAAGACATAAAATGGTTGCAAAGATAGAGGACAAAAACTCGTTTTTTTTTCCCTAAAATATATGGTTAGAAATTATGAAGAATCTTATTTAGTTCTGATTTTTAAGAAATATGAAGTGTGGGATGTTCTCTTAGATCTTCTTTTTTTTTTTTTTTAAAGATTTTATTTATTTATTTGACAGAGAGAGAATGAGAGATAGAGAGCATGAGAGGGAAGAGGGTCAGAGGGAGAAGCAGACTCCCTACTGAGCAGGGAGCCCAATGTGGGACTCGATCCCGGGACTCCAGGATCATGACCTGAGCCGAAGGCAGTCGTCCAACCAACTGAGCCACCCAGGCGCCCCGCTCTTAGATCTTCTTATAGCATATATTATATAGCAATTTTTAAATTAATGTAAAAATCACCTAGAGATTACAACCTGGGAACCTTTTCATATGTAAGCAATCTGGCTAACTTTTGGCATTCTTTTATGCAACAAGATTTATTGAGCAATTACTATGTGCCAGGTACAGTTCTAGGCACTGCCGGTGTAAGACAGGGAAATTCCCCGCTCTGGTGGTGCTTATCCTCAAATGGCAAGGGACAGGCAATAAAGAAGCAAATTAATACCTAGCAAACATCAGGTAGTGAGATGTGTTAAGAAAACAATAAAGCTGGTTCATGAGAGAGAACCTAGTATACAAATAAAGAGTTACAAATGTGGCAAGTTCTCTAATAAAAATAAGGGTGGAATGCTGGAATGATGATGTGGCTGGTGGGCGGGTGGCGTGTTTCATTTGGGGTGCCCAGGTAGGGCCTTCTGAGGTGGTCTTTGAGCTGAGACCTGATTGATGGTAAACAACATGCCATGCGGATATCTGAGGGAAAGGTGTTCTAGATAGGATCAATAAACAACTACAAAGGCTTCCAGATGAAAAGAGTTCTATGTGTTTGAGGAACCAGAAGAAGATATATTAGGCAAGGGACAGGGGTGCAAGTGGTGATGCAGGTGGAGAGGTGGGCAAAGACCAGAGCAGGTGGAGCTGGGTCGGTCCTGGTTTTGGCTTTTTTTTCCAAGTGTAATCATTGGAGAAGTTTTATGCAGACAGGAGTCTGAATTTCTTTTATTTATTTATTTATTTTTAAACTTTTTTAAAACTTTTATTTTATTTTATCTTTTTTTAAGAGGGAGAGAGTGAGAGAAGGGGCAGAGAGAGAATCTTATGTAGGTCCCACGCCCACTGTGGTGCCCCATCGGCGCTTGATCTCAGGACCCTGAGACTCAAGAGTTGGATGCTTAACTGGCTGAGCCACCCAGGCACCCCCTGAATTCCATTTTAAAAGATCATGCTAAAGATGTCCTGGGAAGAGAGGAATGGGATGGGAGGAGGTAAAGGGAGGCCAAGGAAAAGGTAAATTTACCCAATTTACCAATTGGGATGCTGTTGCTGTGGCCCTGGTGAGATATGATGACGGTCCTTCCACCACTATCTACAAAAGCGTCCAAAGTGCCTAAAAAATAGGGAGATGAAGGAACTTGCAAAGATAACAAGAGAATCCATATTTAAATGACTTTCTGGTAACACCCCAAAGAAGCAAAAAGATGAATTTAGAGTGTAGGACATTCTACAGGACCCCTGACCTGGTTTCTTCAACAGGTCAGTGGCGTGAAGAAAAATTAAGAAGGGGGGAGTGATGATCACTCTGGCTTCAAACAGACAGAAGAGGCCCACTAACCACATGCACCACATGGAGCTATTGGAATCCTAGTTTGAACGATTGTAAAAAGTAGATTTTGAAATAGTTGGGAAATTTCTATAGTGAAGCTGGCTGTTGGATAATACCAAGGAATTACTGATAATTTTGTTAGGCATGACAACGGCATTATGACTACACAAGAAAACGTGTGTCTTTTGAAGAGCTGCACCCTTCAGCAGGTAGGGGTAAAACAACAGCTATAGGATTGCCTGGAGTTTGAGTCTGAGTGACTTTTTAAATTTTCTTGAGTTTGAGTTGCCTTCTTTATTTCCCTGAGGTTGAGTTTCCCTCTGTTTTTACAAGTCTGAATTGCTTTTTTTTATTTCTCTGGCTGTGGGAGCCATGGTGCTTATGGAAAGTGCTGTACACCTTGGAACTGCAATCTTTTGATCGAGCTGAAAGAAAAAGTGATGAAAAAAAGACGAACTGTTTTAGAAGTTATTTATATGTTCTTCCTAAAAGCTTAAAAATGAAGGGAGGAAACTCGCACCATCATCTTTAGGGAATTGCAAACATTCACATCCTTGTTATGCACGTTAAGGTGGGTTTTCATCGTTAGGCAGCCTTCTGTCCTGGATATTTTATCTATGGGAGCCAGATGGCCCCAAAGCAGTGAAGGTGGCTTTCTCAATGGTACTCCAGAATTCTTACTTACAAGAGTTTTTGTATGTGATCTGCATTTGCCTCTCTTCTCTGTGCTCCATTTGGAGAAATAATGTAAATTTAGACCTTGAATCTCCTATATAAGTGTCAAGGCAATTACCGTTTTGTTAACAAATGCTTACTTTGGATTGATTAAATATAACTCTAATGCATGCTTAAGAGAAGAGAGATTTGATTATAGTCTGTGAAACTGAGCCTTTTTAGTTTAGGAAAAATGAAAGTCTATAATTATATATACATATATTTCTATATCTTTGTACATGTAAAATTTTATTTATATTATATATATAAAGAATATATATATTCATTCACTTTTTAGCAGATAGAATGTTAAATGGAATATTGAAAACAGGAAATGAACACAACAAAACAGAGTATCTTATCCTGAAAAGAGCAAAAATAATGAATATCTTCTTGAAGATGATTGAAAGTTATCATTTCAAATGAATTCTGCATTATTCATAGGCCCCTGAATATCATCTCTCTGTTTTTCTGTGTGGGAACTAAGATCTAATAGATGTTTTCCTAGAGGTACATTCATTTGTATACTATTATTCACATATTTTATTTTGATCTCTCGGGAGAGTCCTAATCAAGTTTTTGTTTTCTCTTCCTGAGTTCTACGTTAGGAAGAGTTATTTGGGTTTCATAGACTTGCCAGGTTATCAAGGATCTTCAAGGACATCTAGTCACCTTCCTGCTCAAGGCAGGAAACCTCTCTTGACAGTAACCATAACCATAACCTTCCTGAACACTTCCTGTGTCAGAGAATTCACAGCCTAGTCCTCTTCCCTGGAGCTCTAATTATTCATATTCTATTACTTATTGAGCCCTACTATTCATATGTATCAAGCATATTGCAATTTATAGTTAATCTTTTTATCTAGTTTTATTAGATCACAGCACCCTTCTAATTGCAAAATCCAATGCACATTCTTAAATCTGCATGTCGTTGGACTTCTGAGGCATTTTACACCATTATCCACTCCCTCCCTCTTGAAATGCTCTTCCGTTTTGGTTTCTTTGAATTTCTTGCCCAGTTTTTCTCCTTTCCATGTGACTTTTTCTTCTCAGTCTCTATGTGAAGGAGGTCTCTTCATCTGCTTAGCCCATTAAGTATTACCTTCCTCGCTTCTGTCTTTAGTTCTTCATCGTGTCCACATACTCCCCCTGAAACGTTTACTCCGTTTCTAGAACTTTGGTACCAGTGGCTTCACCAATGTCTCTATCCTTGTCTTGACTCCTCAGCTCTAGTCCTTTGTACATAGGCATGTCCTGAAATTTTCAGTTAGACTCCCACAGGCACCTCAAATTCAGTATTTCTTTCTTTTTTTAAAAGATTTGTTCGTTTATTTTAGAGGTGGGGGAAGGGTAGAGGGAGAGAGAGAATCTCAAGCAGACTCCACGCTTAGCACGGCCTGACATGGGGCTCCATCTCACCACCCTGAGATCATGACCTGAGCCCAGGATTCGGACACTCAACCAACTGTGCCACCCAGGCGCCCCTCAAATTCAACATTTCTAAAGCTGAAGTGTAGCCATTCTCTTTTCCCACAAATTCTGTATTCTTCTTTTGGTCATTAGAACTATGATCCAAACAAAAATCTCAATGTTGTCTTCACTATCTCCCTTCCCCTTTTCTTAAATGTATCTTGGGCAGTCCTGAAGCCACTGCCTCAGTTCAGGCCCCCATCACTCCTCAGGTTTGCCCTGTCTTGTAACTCATCCCCTTCCAGTCTCAGATGCCTCTGCCGGCACATCTCCCCACGGCAGCCACACTGTGGCCTTTCTGAAATGAAATCTGCTCCCTAGATGGGAACTCTCCCGTGATTCCACGTTGCCTCTAGAATCAAGCCCAAACTCCCAAGCATGGCAGATGAGGAAGCCCTTCGTGAAGTGACTCTCGTTCCCATGTCCATCTTCTCTTCTCTTCAGTTCACCTTGTCCTCGATTCATTCCAAGTTCTTGCTGTGCCCCTGAATATATGGGCTTTTACACGTGCGCTGTTCCTGTTGCCAGAAATGTTTCTTGTATTATGAGAAAATTCTTCTTTTGTAATTCTCATTCCATTGCAGTTTAATTGCCTATACCTATTTCCATTACTACTTGCTGAGTTCCCAGAGATAAGCATACAGTGTAAGCCATTTTTCTAATCTTAATGTCTGGTCCAGTATCTAGAACATAGAAAATCCTGCTTATTGAATTGAACATTTCAGTTACCCTTCTATGGGTAGGCTATAATTCTTTAACATTCCCCCCCCCAATACCGTATGCAAAAAGAGCAATGTGTCTCACCTAGTACAGATTTTAATGGGGCTATTCATCCACTTGAAAAGGACATCTCTTTCTACCAAAATAGCTCCAGATAATAGTCACTGTGCAAATTGAGTGCCTGCTGTATGCCAGGTACAGTGGTAAATATTGGAAATAATCTCTGCTCATCAAACACCTCTGGGGGGTAGACAATATGATCTCCATTTCATAGATTAGGAAGCTGAAGATTGAAGTATTCAACACTTGTCCAAGCAAAGACCTGGTGAAGTTGGGATACAAACCACATGCATGTGACTGCAAAACCCAGGTTTTTTGTGCTACTCACACTGCCTTTGAAATTTTTTAGTAGTCTAATCAGATATTTAAAATCGAAAAGCTTGAAGTCAATTAAAATCCACTATGGCCTCTTTCTCCATTCTATACTTACATGATTATTTCACTCTACCTGCCAGATTCTGCATTTCTACTTATTAAAATGCCTAGTGCTAGCTTTGTCTTTTATTATTATTATTTTTGTGACCTAAGGACGTTGTAAGCAAAGGAGATGAATTTCTTTTAATGCGACTCAGTTTTAGAGAATGCCAGCTACATCTTGGTGACCTTTGATGTATTTCCCCAAGGGGTCTCATATCGTTTGCTCAATAATACTTGCTGGAATTGACATCAAAGTTACCTGCTTTATTTCTTAGACTATATCTATTTTTCTTCTCTTTGAAAACCAGGATAGAATGTATCCATCTTTTCTTTAGTGACACATCTGTACTTTTCCATGAATTTTTAAAGATTGTGTCAATGCTTTCATGGCTACAGGTGTTTTCGTACCCTTCACTATCATTTGTCTTCTCTGGACGCTTGGATTTCTTCTTATACCTTCTCAGTTTTGTGGTTTAGAGTACATAGACTAAAGTGTTCCTAAGACACCTGAGAGGTCAGGCTTTCCTATACAGGGGGAATGAAATGGCATGTGAGCAGTTCTACTCTGAAAATACTCATTAGTGCTTTGAAATTTCTTGAAGAAAGTCCCTGTATCAAATGCAAGCTACACAGGCAAAGAGACAGGGAAAACTCAAATATGTGCCTTGTGAATATTCAAAGGGATATTTTTTCCAAATCTTAATAATTTTGGAAATAATGACAGTAAAGGTATTCTACCAAATGGGAGATCAAATTTCCTCCAGTCAGATGACGTGTCAAAAGGACTGCACTGGGGTACCTGGGTGGCTCAGGTCATGATCCCAGGGTCCTGGGATGGAACCCCTCGTTGGGCTCCCTGCAGCAGGAAGCCTGCTTCTCCCTCTCCCTCTGCTGCTCCCCCTGCTTGTGCTCGCTCTCTCTCTTTCTGTCAGATAAGTAAATAAAATCCTAAAAAACAGAAAAGCAAAAGGACTTCACCAGTTTTCAAATGCCATAGCACTGAAGCCACACCATTCTCAAAGAGACTGGGCAAAAGGAATAATAGATATGTCACTTCAAAAATATCAAAACAGAAACTAAAGACAACAAATATAAGAGGTGATTTAAAAGGTCTGGGTCCTAACTTATGAAATACAGGGCAGATACAGTAGCAGGTAAAAACTACTGCGAAATGATTTATGATGTTGCCATGCAAATGAAAAGTAATGAGTAATGTATTAGTCAGGGTCCAATGAGAAGATAAAAACTGCACAGTAATTTGAAGTGGGGAAAGTGCAGTATAAAGAATTATTGTGCTTGCTTCAGCAGCACATATACTGAAATTGGAATGATACAGAGACAATTAGCATCACCCCTGTGCCAGGATAACACACAAATTTGTAAGGCATTTCATATTAAAAAAAAAGAAGAAGAATTATTAACAGGGGATTGCCTCATAAGGGAAAAAGAGAACCCTAAGAAATACAGAAATAGCAGATGTAGAAAACGGCCACCACTCATAGAACTGGGATAGAGCACCAGGGGAAGAGACCACTCCCTCCCAGGGCTGAGATCCGGTCGTGGTTGGGAGAGGGTACAGTGTGGCTCAGTGGATGACAGAGAATTCATGGAGACGTCCCGCTCCTGGGATTTGCCAGGAATCCACCTTCTGGAGTGCTAGGGGAAGTCATTTTCAGAGATGCATCTTGAAACGCACTCAAGCTACACACAGGGCGGCCAGAGAAGCCATCCGAAGCAAGGTGCCTTGCTGGCACCACTTGAGGGGAGTGTGCCAGAAAAAGCAGTTCTACTCTAAAGGGCACCTATCAGTCTGCTGTGAAGCCATCTGAGGGGGTGGTCCTGGGGGAAGCTATCAGGGGGTCCACTTGTGGCTGGGAAACAGTGCTGCTGAAAAAGCCACACACTCGAGGAGATCCATGAGGTTAGCACGCCAGAACCCAGAAGAGATACCTCTTCCTTCTCAGTGTCCCTCCAGCACCCTCTGCTGATAAAGTCTAAGATTGGACCAGATGGCAAGGAGAAATATTGATAGAGTCCACTTCCATTTTGATAGGATACAAAGTGTGGATTTGAGCGGAGCGGCAGTAAATTGATAACTAACATAAATGGTATCTGGAAGAAAATCGTTATTGGTATGAAGACATGAATTCCTAAAACCCAATGACAGATAATAACTATATTTTTCTTCTACTTTCTAATCAACCATATTTACTTTTTTGAAAAGATTTATTCACATTAAATGAGTAAAGAATTTTGAAGGCCAGTACATTTCTTTCCTAGAGAAACCAAATCAATTATATCAGAAATCCAAGTATAAATTGTGTGAATTTGTATATAGACTATTGTAGTCTCATGATAAATGTTTGCAGAAATTGAGTTGAATTAAATAGTACTCCATTTTGAACTACTCTGTATTTTGAAGATTTTTGGCTCTTTTTCTTTCTTTTTTTTTGTCAAATCCAATAAGCTTGTTCCAAATTTCAAAGGTTAAAGCACTTATCTTATTGAGCTGGGAATGTTTCTGGGCATTCACTTGTGATTTAAAATCCACTAGAATCAGAACTCTATATAGTACTGGTCTTGATTTTAAGATATAAGATGATAGTTGTTTCATCTTTCTGAAATACTCGGAAAATTTATAGTGATACTGGAGTATAATTCTGATGGCTCCTGAGAACTATTATAACATTGGTTATTACCTACAAACTGTGTTTGTGTGGAAAAATGGAGTTTATTTCAAATACTGTCACTGCTAAGAATCAAATGAGGAAGCTACTGAGTGGGTAGTCATGACCTATAATCTTTCCTAAATAACTTCTCTCTCCTGTGTATCTAATTTGTAAGCCCCCATCATAATTTCCCAAGTCACCTGGTCAATGAATACAAGTCCTGTGATTGTCTATGACAAGTGTGTAGTGGAGAAAATTTTGTCTATGTGACAATAGCTAGACTAGAGCCTATTCTGGAAGGTTTATCCCATGTTTAACCAAAACAGATTACTGGAGATGATGATTGGGCTACGGCCACTTTAGATCAGAGTTTTTCAAAAGTACACCATGCACTACTTATTTCAGAATCACCTGAGATGCTTCATAAAATGCCAGTTCTCCAGCCTTTTCTGTGGCAAACTATATCAGAATCTGGACATTCTGAACACAGGGTCTGAGAATCTGTTTTGAACAAGCGTCCTAGCCAATTCACATCCTTACTGATACTTGAGACTGATGCTGAGATGTGAGAACCAAGAGTCGAGGTGATGTTCTTTTTCCCAAAACAGTATTGGCTAGAGTCATAGCAGGGCTGGTTAAGTCTGGTGTACTGCTCTTGCCTTAAGGAATGTTGCCTATAACTCCTCGGGTTGGACTTTCAGCACCATGGCCTGGCCAAGAGCACAGTATGGTGTGTGTTATCAACTCATAGATAACGGGGATTTTCCATTTGTCAGGTATAGCTGGTAATGGAAGGCACCTTTGGCTACCTTAAGTAGGCAAGGAATTATTGGAAAGATATGGTGGTGTAAGAAATAAGTTACTGATGAGGGTTGAAGAGAGAGGAACCAGGGCATCTCTGGACATAGGTGTATCAGGTGTTAACTAATGGTCAGAGCTTGGTTGAGGCAGCTTCAAACTTTATCTTGTTTATTCCCAATCTTGTGTTCATCCCTTACCTGGAGGAAAGAGCACCTTCTAGGTGCACCCAACTGAGAAGAAAATTTCCCAATCGGTTGTTATCAGAAGTAAAGGAGAATGAATGTCTAACTCTATCAGATTCTGATTTGTTATCAACGTAACACACATGCGACAACTCCTAAAGAAAGTAGCTAAGAGCTTAATTACATTCTAAGATTAATCGTAGGTTAACAAAACACCTCTCGAATTTTTTTTAATCCTCAGCCTGAATATGCCAATATTTGCTTTTGGTACATTCCACCAAGCCTTAGAGAGATGGAAGAAGGACCTGAATTCTGGGCAAAACTTAATTTGGTAAGTAATAAGTAAACTACATTTTTCCTTTTGATGAAATAATACTGTTCCATTGTCTATTGATCCTATGAATAATTCTGTACTAGTAAGACCTCTCAAAGATCGAGAGAAGTGGCTCCTAGTGTACTGAAAGGCCAGACCGTTACCAACACTGTTTACGTTTAAACAACGTAACTTACTTGATCCACATATGAATTCCAAATAATGGGGCTGTTTGCCAGATAGCTATAGGATGTGGTAGATGTCCTCATCCCCGGTGTGCTTCAGAAAGTATGATCTGATGACTCATCCCCCGGTGTGCTTCAGAAAGTATGATCTGATGACTCATCCCCCGGTGTGCTTCAGA